CACTGAATTTCACTGAATTTCACTGAATTTTTAGAGTTGGAAGGGACCATAGAGATCATCTAGTCCAACTCCCCTGCTGAAGCAGGATTGCCTAGAGCATGTCAGAGCATGTTACTCAGGAGCATCCAGGCGGGTCTTGAAAATCTCCAAAGAAGGGGACTCCACACCCTCCCTGGGCAGCCTGTTCCAGGGCTCTGGCACCCTCACCGTGAAGACCCTTTCCCCCTCCAGCTGGTCCCGAGCATCGTGCCAGGAAAGGTCACATAATCTGCTCCCAACCAGAAGCTGCGGAGAGGAACACGCTCCAGCCCCCAGACCTCCTGCTCACCACAGCATGGAAGAGCTTCACCTCCTCCCCACGTCCCAGTTCAGGCTTCTCCTACATGTTGGAAGAAGTTGGTGCCCCAAATCCCAGTAATTGGCTTCCTCAAAGTTCTCAGCTTGCCAGAAGGCTCCACAGGGAGATGAACTGCTCTGAATGGTCACCACAGAAGCCTCCTGCCCCACGAGAAGTGGTTTTGCAAGCCTCGCTTCCAGAAGATAATTAGTCATTTGCAGCATGGGAAGTAAGCAGAAAGTCACACTGAGACATGATTGACTTCACATCGATGCTTTTAGCACAGCCCTCGGCATCGTTTTGCCGTGGGTCAACTTGTACCCCTCCAAAAAACTCCCAGGAGTTAGCACAGATGATTTCCTGGAAGGAGCTGGGATAAAGGAACTCTTCTCCTGGAGCTCAGAGGCTTCAGCAGTGGGGATGTGGCCAGGCTTTGTCAACGGTCCTCGAGGTGGTGTTGAATTCACTAATATCGTTGCTGCCATTGAGGTCAAAATTGGGAAAAATAAGGGAAGCTCTCCCAGATCCAGTTGGCTTTTGATAAGGACAGGATTTTAGGCAAATATTCTCCACGTGTGCACCTACACATCAGGCATTTGGGCGCTGCACGAGAACAAGGGGTTGAAGGCAATCATTTTAGATGGACACCACGTCCCACCCAAGAGGCTCCTCACTTCTGGTGGCCAACCTAACGGTGCCAATGAGCTCTGAGGTCCTGCAGGATGAAACACTCCAGAAACAGGGCTTTTAGCTCTTCTTCTGCTGGTCTCAGCTGCTGAGGCTGGATTTGGGAAGGAAGGTGACAAGCAATGACGGGTGGGTTGAGTTGTGTAAGTCAGCACCATTGCAGCCCTCAGGAAGAGGAGCTTCCGTGGCTCAGGAAACCCAAAGGGCAGCGGCCAAACTCGCAGAGGACGCTTTTTAGGAAACGTTCATACTTTCCTTCAACTGCACGATCCATAAAAATGTACTTAATTTTCTCCTCCCCACATCTCTTCCTCAAACGTCTTGGTCCCACGAGGTACGGATTTTAACAGCATCACATTCCAAAGACTGCAAGAATTAGCAACTTTAAGACCTGGATCTTCCCAGTTTGGAGTTGCTCAGTACGTATCGGTCCTTTTGTAACAACAACAATACGCAGGAAAATCTAGTAAAAAAACCCTCCAGTTTATGTGGGTAATTTGGTATCGGTGGCTTGGCTCCGCTGCGTCTCCTATCAAAACAAAATGAATGATATTAATAGATTCAAAATGTCAGTTAAGCAGTTTATCCCGAGCTCGTGTATTCAGAAATGAATAATCTCTTGAGGTCGAGGGACAGAGGCCAAAGCGGAACGTCGGGCAGAGCAGTGGGTGGGTAAAACCAAGGCAAACTTACTCAACTGCTTGGCGTTGCTGGACTCAAACTAACATTTAATATTAATTGAAATTAAAGCGGTGAGTAATGGTCATCCTGTGGACATGGGGGGGGGCTGTTTATGTATGGCATTTTTTCCTCATTGTGTTTTTTCCCCCCCTCTGTTTTAAAATGTTGCGCAATTAACTAAAAAACTGGGTGTGTTGCTCACGTTGCATACATTGCAGTATTGGGAACACTACAAACACAAAGAGTGGAAAAAATAAACCAAACCACCAGAAATAAGCGTATCTTAATTCTACTTACATAAACCAGGCTAAACCATCACTAAATATTTTTAATCAGGATGGGTTCACGGAGATTCACCAAGATTCCCTGTCAAATTCAAGGTTTCGTGGGGCAGGAAAGGAAACCTCTGCTGTAGATAAGGGGTTTAAAAAATTAGAGAAACCAAGGGTAGGAATAAACAGTTTCATGTCCATTCCCCAAGGCAAGAGGGTAACAGATGGAATCCCTCAGGGATCTGGGCTGGGCGATCTGTTGTTCAACACGTCATTACAAAATGTGACCAGGGAGTGAGTAGTGAGGTGACAACCTTTATGGGTGAAATTATCCCAAACAGCCGTGCCTGAAACCAGGGAGAGATCCCACAGCACAGCGCCGTGAGGAGACACAACAGCAGGTGTGATTTGATGCCAGAGACAAACCCATCTTGGAAAAATTACGCTAATCACACGTGTACAGTCGCGGGCTCTAAATCAGCTATTACCTCGCAGGAATAAAGAAATTTGGGGGTGATTGTTGATAGTTGTCTGAGAAGCTCAGCTCAACGCTCAGCAGCAGTCACATCAAACCTTGGCAGCTGTTAGAAAAGAAATAGAAACCAAAACAGTAAACATCATTACGCTGGTGTACAGAATACCACATTTTGATGACTGATGCCAATCCGACCACCCCATCTCCAAAAGCAAATGTAAAACTACTGAGGTTACAGCGAAGGGTTATCGTAGTTAATCAGAGGGAGAAGGTCAGCTTCGGCCTTGAGGGAAGACCAAAAGTCTGCGAAGGACGTGACTGGTGGGGCAGGGAGGGAGAACACAGCAGAGCTCCTGAGTCACGAACACTGCAGGGACAAGGAGGGAATAATTAGGCAGTAAACAGCTAAGACAAAAGCTGGAGACACTGAAGAAATTCCCAGGCAAACAAAAGCAAGGGAGTTTTTCAGGTAACACGTCGGCCCCCAGTGAAACTGTGGGGCAGGATGTGGAGGAGACCAAGCGAATTAAAAGGGTTCAAAAAAGGGCCTAAAGAAATTAATGGATTAGAGGTGCATTAGTGCTATTAAACGTGATAGGCGGACGCTCTCCAGATTAAAAGTGGACTATTAAGCACAGAAAAGCTTTCTACCCTACGTGAAACCATCTCGGGGAAGGATTTCAACCCGCGACACACGCGCTGACCGTCGGTGCTACCACACTCTTGACAGACATGCCACAGGGTGTTGACTCCAAATCCTGCCACGGACCTTCTCGTTTGGGGGGTCCACCAACACATGGATGAGCTTTTACATCGATGTGTATGCAAAGCAATTAGCTGCCCAGGACTGGGTAAGTATCTGGGATATTTAAGCAGTGGATTGCACACACATACAGCTTTCACCGTGTCATTAAATGCTCTACGTAACACTACAGCTATACCAAGTCTCTAAATCTGGACTATATAGAGGCACCATTAGTACTTACTCTCCTCAGATTTACCCCACTTATCTTACTTTCAGCTAAAATTTAACCTGGCATCATGCCCAAACTCTTGAAAGTAAAGGTAGAATGACAGAAGCACAGAATACTTCAGGTGGGGAGGGACCTTTAAAGACCATCTAGTCCTACCCCCTGCCGTGAGCGGGGACATCTCCAACTAGATGAGGCTGCACCGAGCTGCATCCAACCTGGCCTGGCATGTTTCCAGGGATGGGGCATCCACCACCTCTCTGGGCAGCCTGTGGGATTAGTAGCAATGACAATCAGTAAAGCTAGGAAGGAAAGATCAAATGATATCCTAAGGGGAGAGTTTTGCATGGTCTTGGAAGGATTTTGCAAGATTTAGGGTAGACAGCCAAGCAGTACAATTACTGAGTCACTCTTACGTGTTTATGGTACCTTTTTTTTTAATGGGCTGCAAATGATTTTTTGGAACACAGGGCTGGAATGTCTCTGGGAGCTCCTGTGTGTGATGCTGTGGCCACACTGCGTTCTGGGGCTGGGTATCCAGCCTAGACAGGGCAGAGGCTCACTTGCCACACAGAGAAGTGCCCGTCGCCCACCTCCTCTCTGCTGCATCCACTGAAAACAACAGAGGAAGAACACCAGATCACTTTCCCCTAAACATTAACCAAACTTTCCCCTCTTTTATTAAAATAGAACGACTGCGGGCCCCACACGCCAACCTGAGGTTGAGCCACCACCCTTACCCCCCT